GTCGAACACAGGGCAGCACAGAACTACAGAAACAATAAATCAGCCATTGGATGGGAGAATTCTCTCACCATTGCTTATCCCCATAAAATTTATTCAAGATTTAGAAATTCTAATTTTCTAATAATGTTGATATTACTTTGGAACAGAATTGTTCTTTCTAGAATGTAATCATAGTCATAAGAAGAACTTCCTCACAATAAGAACTGTCGAAAAAAGGAATGGACTTTGTCAGACATTGGTGGGCTCTCTTCACAAGAGGATTTTGAACAGAGATTGAATTGGGTGCCTGACAGCTATAGTTTTCTATTTCAACAGGGAGGTTACACTCAAAGACCCTTGGGTCTCTTCTGTCTCTAAAATTCTATAAGTCTAACGTTAAGAGCAAAATTAAAGGGAGGGGAACAGGAAAAAAATAGAGGAAAGCAAATATCAAGGTGCTTTAAAGAGGAACAGATTTATTTCAATGCAAGGTTTTGTGGAAGTCTGAAAAAGTCAATTTTAATCCACAAAACATGTGGGTTCTGCACATTCTCAATTGTGGTTTACCTTGTTGCATAATAGTGTGAGGTAAAAATCCAGTAACAGCCTGACAGTATTCTACAGAGGAAGAGAGCTAAAGGATTCTTAAGTTTATGTCACAGAAAATGCTATGTGTTACATCTTCATAAATAGGAAGAGTTTGAGAATCAAGTACAATTAATAATGTTCACTTCTATTAACAATGATGCCTTCAAAGAGAACAAGAAATAATCTGTAAATAGGCACCAAAGAGTAATATTGAAAGGATAATCATATTAAGAACTTTTTACTCCAGGTGGATTGCGTTTAGTCAGAACTCTCCACTATGACCTGTCCGTCTTGGGTGGCCCTGCACGGCATAGCCCATAGCTTCTCTGAGTTACTCAAGCCCCCTCACCACGACAAGGCAGCAATCCATGAAGGGGAAGATATTAAGAGTAAGACTCTGTAATTTCCATGTTACTATAGAGCTTCTTTAACACCGTCTTCATAAATAGGAAGAGTTTGAGAATCAAGTACAACTAATAATATTCACTTCTATTAACAATGATGCCTTCAAAGAGAACAATAAATAATCTGTAAATAGGCACCAAAGAGTAATATTGAAAGGATAATCATATTAAGAACTTGGAAGGAAGGAAGGAAGGAAGGAAGGAAGGAAG